TGACTGTAGTCCTCAACAGTAAAGCTTGTGTGACTAGTCCTCAACAGTAAGGCTTGTGTGACTGTAGTCCTCAACAGTAAAGCTTGAATAATCATTGTTTCTAATCAGCTATAGAAATGTAACTTGGTCAACTAGAACCTTTTACAAGTGAAGCTTTGGTGATACTATTATCGTCCTTTATCAGTAAGGCTTGGTCTTGAAACTTAATCATTACCAGAAATGCCTGGGTAATGATAATCACCAGTAAAATGGGAGCAACTAGTATACCTTACTGGTAAAGCCTGGGTGACAGTAATTCCTTCCAGCAAAGTTTGGACAACTGAAGTCCTATACATGTACCAGTAAAACTGGGGTGTCTATAGACCTTAGTGTTAAAGCTGTGGCAACTAGTTCCTTATCACAATGAAACTAGGGCCACCAGTTCTCTGCTTGTAAAGCTGGGATCACTCAGTGCTCTATCAGTGAAACTAAGCTTACACAACTATAGTTCTTTACTAGTAACTCTTGGGTGACTGTAGTTCCAAATCAGTATTTAGTATAACATGATATCAAGAATGAGATTTTATGAATCAAGTCCAGAGAGTTAATTGAATTGCTTCTGAATTCAGAAAGACTGAAGTCAAATTGATTGTTGCTTTTAAACCAGTATTTGCTTTTGTAATGAAGTTTTCAAACATGACTTAATTCTGTGTACTTTACAGTGGAAGAACAGCCGAGAGACGGAGAATACCTGTACCCTCACAGACATCCTGAAGGGGTTAGGCTCTGTCAAACTGCGATCTATACAAAGGTAGGACTCTTCTGTCTTTATCATAAGTGGAATTAGTGTTAAGGCCAAACAAAATTAATTACTTGGTTCTCAGGCCATTTTTTTTTTTTAAATGTGGCAGGGAGGTATATATTTTTTTCATTTTACATGAATTTTCTTTTATTGTGTAGTTTGTAAAACGTTCATTGTGGGCATTACCTTGTCTTTTTATAGTTGTGTAGAGACCCATCATAGAGCAAGCCTCCGAAAATCCCCCAACGTATTCCAGACGAGAATCACGAACCCCCCATTCCTTATTTGTACCGAAATGAGTGCCATTTGTACACAAGACTAATAAGTCATAATCATTTAACGCTTGCCTGTATATCAATCCTTATCTTTATTCAAACGTTTTCGGGACTTGGGTGACTAACGAGTAAAAACGACATGCGGACCAATTTTCCAGATTTTTTTTAAAGATGGCGGCTAGCGCATTCACGATTTTTTTTTATTACTTTCACGATAAAATCGGCAATGCGGTGCCCTAAAATGAAATGCGTGCGGGCCTGAGAACCAAGTAGTCATTTTTTTTTGGCCTAATACACTTACATTTACACAGTGCTACGACGGGAACTACATGACTTACCATCTAAAGCACTTGTGGACAACAGGACAAAGTCAGACATGATGTAGGAATCTTCTTTCTCTTACCCTGGACAGGTGTATTTGCATTTTTACCGATGTGAGATTTCCTTTTCTCTTACCCTGGACAGGTGTGTCCGCACTTTTACCGGTGTGAGATTTCCTTGTCTCCCCCTAGGGTTGAGACGGGGGGATTCCCCTATTCATAACAATGGTGTGACGTCACTTCAACAATACAATGATGTCACTTCAACAATCCATCAACGACACGTCAACCCTGAATTTAGCATGTAACGTTGTCATTACATTGTGTATATGATACACATTGGAAGAACAGGGTAAGAGAAAAAGAATCATTCACCCCCTTGTGGGTAAGATAGAGGAATCTAAACCCTCGGGGAAAGATTCTTCAGTTGCCAAACACTCGGCAAAGCCTCGTGTTTGGCAACTTAAGAATCCTCCCCCTCGGGTTGAGATTCTCCTATCTCACCCCAAAGGGGGTGAAAGATTCTATTAGTCTCACTCCCAAAGGGGTGAATGATTATTTGTCTCTTACCCTGTTTACCCTCTTATGTATTTTATATAGACGTTACATCAGTGCAAGACAATGTTGATGTGATGCGGCTGAATTGTCGACGTGACGTCAGTGTATTGTTGCCGTGACGTCATGGTATTGTTGTTATGACGTCATACAATTGTTGAGAACGTGCAAAGAACAAGTGTAGCTTGTCTCAACCCTAGCGTGAGATAAGAAAATCTCACACCGGTAAAATGGTGGATATCCCTGTCCAGGGTAAGAGAATCCCCTATCTCACCCCCAAGGAGGTGATATATTCTATTATTCTCCGAAATATACAAACACTGTCAATCTGGTATTAGTTCAACATTTCAGTGATTCAATTTATCCAGCTAAATGCTTTGTGACTGGGTTATTCTTTTTCAATTCACTTGGCCTCAAGGGACAAAAGAGCTTGTGGGATTGTGCAGTGCTCACTGTCCACTACTTATGAGAATACTTTGCCTGGATTACTAAAATATCGAGGAGAGCAATACAGGCCCTCTGGGCCTCTTTTCACTTCGGTTGCAATTTCTCCTGTATTATTTCTGAAAATGATTAGGAGTTTATGGGAACATTTCTGCTTTTTCTACAACATTTTGCATACAGTCATATTTATTAAAAGTGATTGAACAATTCATGAAAATGGTACTGGAATGAAGTTTGTTCATAAATTATTACAGAATTAGACATGACTGACAAACCAAACCAAACCTAACCAAACCTAACCTTATATTCAGGCAACATGAACTACCCATCATCACCAAAAACACAGCTGAAAACATTTGTATACCCAAACATGTATGAAGATTGTTATTGGCTGTTGTTAAAGCCCCGAGTATAAAGGTTCTAGTTTACAGTTTAATGTGACTGTCCCCTTGTTTACCTTATCTATAAAATACCCAGTATAAGTGGTTCTTGTTTACTGTAATACTGTATAACCTGACTGTCCCCTTGTTTACCTAGATCTCATAAGTACCCAGTATAAGTGGTTCTTGTTTACTGTAATACTACATGTATAACCTGATTGTCCCCTTGTTTACCTAGATCTCCAAAGTATCCGGTATAAGTGGTTCTTGTTTACTGTAATACTACATGTATAACCTGACTGTCTCCTTGTTTACCTAGATCTCCAAAGTACCCGGTATAAGTGGTTCTTGTTTACTGTAATACTACATGTATAAACTGACTGTCCCCTTGTTTACCTAGATCTCCAAAGTATCCGGAATAAGTGGTTCTTGTTTACTGTAATACTGTATAACCTGACTGTCCCCTCGTTTACCTAGATCTCATAAGTACCCAGTATAAGTGGTTCTTGTTTACTGTAATACTGTATAACCTGACTGTCCCCTCGTTTACCTAGATCTCATAAGTACCCAGTATAAGTGGTTCTTGTTTACTATAATACTACATGTATAACCTGACTGTCCCCTTGTTTACCCAGATCTCCAAAGTATCCGGTATAAGTGGTTCTTGTTTACGGTAATACTACATGTATAACCTGACTGTCTCCTTGTTTACCTAGATCTCCAAAGTACCAAGTATAAGTGGTTCTTGTTTACTGTAATACTACATGTATAACCTGATTGTCCCCTTGTTTACCTAGATCTCCAAAGTATCCGGTATAAGTGGTTCTTGTTTACTGTAATACTGTATAACCTGACTGTCCCCTCGTTTACCTAGATCTCATAAGTACCCAGTATAAGTGGTTCTTGTTTACTATAATACTACATGTATAACCTGACTGTCCCCTTGTTTACCTATATCTCCAAAGTACCCAGTATAAGTGGTTCTTGTTTACTGTAATACTGTATAACCTGACTGTCCCCTTGTTTACCTAGATCTCCAAAGTATCCGGTATAAGTGGTTCTTGTTTACTGTAATACTGTATAACATGATTGTCCCCTTGTTTACCTAGATCTTTTTTTTCCACATTGTTTTGTCTAGATCTCCTGGTGGTACTCCCTTGAAGGTGAGGCGACCAGATCGTGAGTGTGACCGGTCAGACCCTGCTGCCCTCATTGCTCAAGCTCTCAAGAAGAAATTTGCCCAGCAGATGACTTACAGTCCAGATACTGACAAGGAAAACGACAACCACGACTTCAGCTCCTCTGACATAGAAAACAGTCCACACGTAAGTATCACAATGGAAAACGGTTTTAGTCTAAAATTGCTTGAGGCACTGTTGGAAGAGTCCTTATGAACCATACACTTGTTTTAACAGTTCAAAGGCCAAATTTACTCTTGTTTGTTACGGGTGCCACACATAGTAAAGTTAGCTTCATTTAGAGAAATATGAAAATGAAGCAAGTTTTGTCAAATTTTTGCATATTTTTAGCCCACCATCATCTGATGGTGGGCTATTCAAATCGCCTTGCGTCAGTCATCCGTCGTCCGTCCTTAAGCAATTCTTGTTATCGATATTTCTCAGGAAGTACCAGAGAGATCTTTCTCAAATTTTGTATGTAGGTTCCCCTTGGTCCCTGGTTGTGCATATTTACTTTTAAGACCTATAACAAAATGACCGACAGGCAGCCATCTTGGATTTTTACAGTGAAGGTTTGTTGTCGCTATTTCTCAGGAAGTACTGGAGGGATCTTTCTCAAGTTTGATATGCAGGTTTCCCTTGGTCCCTGGTTGTGCAGGTTTACTTTTGAGACTGATCAGATATACAAAATGGCGTACAGGCAGCCATCTTGGATTTTGACAGTGAATGTTTGTTATCGCTAATTCTCAATAAGTACGGGAGAGATCTTTCTTAAATTTAACATGTAGGTTCCCCTTGGTCTATTGTTGTGTATGTTAAATTTTGAGAATGACCAGATAAACAAAATGGCCGATATGTAGCCGTAAACACTTGGGGGATCTTTCTCAAATTTCATATGTAGGTTCCCCTTCGTCCCTGGTTGTGCATGTTTACTTTTGAGACTGATCAGATTAACAAAATGGCTGACAGGCCAGCCATCTTGAATTTTGACAGAAGGTTTGTAATAACTGTTTCTCAATAAGGACTGGAGAGATCTTTCTCAAATTTGAGATGTAGGTTCCCCTTGGTATATATGTAGTTGTGAAGTTTTCTTATGAGACTGATCTGATAAACAAATCTTTGATTTTGACATTTAAGATTTGTTAGTGCTATTTCCCAGGAAGTACTGGAGGGTTCTTGCTCAAATTTTGCTTGCAGGTTCCCCACTGTCCTTTATTGTTCATGTTTACTTTTGAAACTGATCAGATAAACAAAATGACCAACCGGCGGCCACCTTCGATTTTTGACATTTAGTGCTATTTCTCAGGAAGAAGTTGAGGGATCTTTCTCAAATTTGATATGTAGGTTCCACTTGACCACTCGTTGTGCATGTTATATTTTGAGACTGATCATAAAAACAAAATTCCCGAAGGAAGAACTAAACAGATCTTTCTCATATTGCAATAATCGGTTCTATTTCTTTCACATTAAGTACTGTACTAGTAAATATGTGAAATGACAAACTCACTTTGAAGGTTGGCTTTCATACACAGCAGTATTAAGTTTAGATCAAAAGTTACCTCAAGGTGAATTTACAGCTAACATGACTCAATCAAACAGATTAGAGAAAAGAAGAGAAAAGATCAAACTGACAAAGAACTAATGAAGATGGTACAATGGTGGGTGCCAAGATCCCTCTGGGATCTCTTGTTTTTCTTTCGGACTGCAGGCTTGAAGAAGCCTAACCCTTTCACCCCTAGGTAACTTAAGTAGACTTGACCTTACATTTATCTGGATGAGTTCATTCTGGTCTACAGTGGTGAAAGGGTTAATGTCAAATGAGTATGTGTGGGCACTGAAAATACATTAAAAGAAATAGGTTTGTTCAAGAATTTGTCAAATTGTTGTTAAAAGCAAAACTGTGGAACAACTTAAAGAAATTGACTGAATGTTGAAATCTTACTAATTTGGGTAAAACTTGTGTACCATGACAACTATAATAGAATAAAATAAAATATATCATCTATCAAAATATCATCTCACAAGTTTTTAGCATGAAGGAGAGATTTAAGTCATTATTCATGAAAATGTTCTAATACTCCAACTATTATTCTGGTGATAAATAAACAAAACCTCACATTTGGACTATGATTTGGAAGAAATTTCGAGAGACTTCAAGCCAAAATACCATTTCAATTGTTATCTCATAACACTTTTTTTATGCTTGAGCATGAGAAAGATTTCTTGAATATTGATTAGTTTCCGAACCAAATTAAACGCAAGGATAGAAATGCATACGTAGATCTTTTGAACATGTTTTGATGGTATACAACAAAGTTCTGTTCAAACATATTCTGAAAGGCACTACAGTACATGGAATATGTGCGAATTGAACTGTGTTATATATATCATCACAAATGTTAGAAAAATTCAATTCAATCCTTAGACAATATCTTCTTTGTTTGTTTAAGCACTGTACAGTAGAAATGAAATATTTCATGCACACTTATTTGCAAGGAATTTGATATTGAAAAAAGATTTCACTTGTTATGTGTGTTTGTGTGATACTTACAACTGACATAAGTGACCGAAAGTACACATTTTGAAATTCATGTTTTCTGCTCACACAGATCATACCAGGCAGAACAAAGAAGATCAAGAGGCGCTCCATACTGTTTGATGAGCGACGAAAGAGTGTGGGACCCCTACGGGATCTGAATGTTTAATGCAAAGTGTCAAACAAGGGATTTTTATTTGTCAAAAGACAATCTTTTAAGATACACAAAATGTTTTAATCATGTACATAACAATTTTATTGTATGCAAATTGACGTATTTCATTTAAAAATTAAACAAAACAAAACTTGTGGGCTTGTTGGGTTGTTTACTTGAAGCTTTAATCTATCAACAGCTATGGTCGTTTTAGGATGTGCCAGGTTTTGGTGGTGGAGTGAAGCTGGAGTACCTGGAGTAAAACCTGCGGTTAGTATCTAGGAACTGTCCCAAGTAGGCCTTGAACCTGTGACTCAGTGGTGGAAAGCTAGTGATCATAGATGTTCAGATTCCTTTTTGCCAATAAGTTAAATGTTTAAAAATCAGCATTTTCCACAATTTTCACTGCTTTGCTAAAAAGAACAAACCAGATTGTGTAGAATCATAAAGGCAATAGATGAACAAAATCATATTTAATTATTTTTTCATCTAAATAATTTTGTGCAAAACATGAGACTGTTTTCTCAGACATGTCATCACATTGTAAAACTGACTTGGGATGAGACAACAACTGTATTTCTAAAAGCAAAAATGTGGTTAGATTCCACAAGTCCTTCTTTTTCTTCATCCACTCATCCACTCAACATTACAGCTAGGAGTTTTAAGATTTAAGATATTAGAATAATTTCATATTAAGACAACTAGATTGTGCATGTACATCAATGTATATAAAACCCATTGTACAATTCAAATGCGTTTGGCACAGATTTAAAATTTTGGTATTGGTATTGCAATGCAATTCATAGTCCTCACCGGTACTGTATAGGAGATATACAAGGCAAAAAGATGGATAGATGAAGTACAAACCTGAAGACCCCCCCCCCCCTCTAACTTGGTCCCCATAAAAATGTATCAAATAAAAGGATCAAGACCACATTTGAAAAAGTTATGTATTACACAGTGTTAATTGCAACTGCAAAATACACCCATATTTCAGCACTTATAAACATATATTACAGGTACAAAGGAAATATTATAATGTTGTATGTTTAATGTAACATGTAAAGATATGTTGGGCTTTTCATTCTGTCACCTTTGTTTAGAAAATTAAGAATAATTTTGAAAAGCCATATCTACCAGAGAGTGACCACATGAATATTTTTTTTCAAAATGCTTATTTCTTAATCAGATGAAATCAATATATCAATATGAATATCAGGCTCAAAGGTAAAAGTAGATACAGGCCAGGGGTAAAAGCATTTAATAAATATTTTCCTCTAAAAATTACATTAAAACTTAGAAAATGGAAGAAGCTAAATATATACATTATTGTGTTACAATGTTATTAGCTCACCTGGTCCGAAGGACCAAGGTGAGCTTATGCCATACCGTTGCGTCCGTCCGTCCATCTGTCCGTCAACAATTTCTTTAAACGACTTCTTCTTCTTAACCACTGATTGGAATTCAACTAAATTTGACTGGAAACATCCCTAGGTTGTGGGAATTAAAAATTGTACAAATGATGGGGCTGACCCCCCAGGGGGCTGAAGGGCGGGGCCAAAAGGGGTCAATTTGGCTATATTGCTTTAAGCGACTTCTCCTCTGGAACTAAAAAGTGGATTTCAACCATATTTGACTGGGAGCATCCCTAGGTGGTGGTGATTTAAAATTGTACAAATAATAGGGCTGACCCCCCAGGGGGTTCGGGGCAGGGCAAAAAGGGGGTAATTTCGCTATACTGCAAGCGACTTCTTCTCTGGAACTAAGAGATGGATATCAACTATATTTGACTGGAAGCATCTCTAGGTGGTGGGGATTCAAAATTGTACAAATGGTGGGGCTGACCCTCCGGGCTAAGGGGTGGGGCCAAAAAATGTGTATTACTTGGAAATAGTTGAGATCCCCACCTTATAACCATGGTATACAATTGCTGAGTATAAAGAGAAGAATGCACATTTGCTTCCAGGATGGCCCTAGGGTCTGGCCCCACCCTTGGAGACATAGTCCCTGGGCCAAAACTTCAAAACTGTTGAGATCCCCACACAAAAACTATATATACAAATGCTGGGCAAAAAGAGACAAATGCAGTCAGGATATTAGAATTGACCCCAGGGTCTGGCTCCACCCCTGCCCCACCCTTGCAGACTTAACCCCTGGGTCATAACTTTGAAACGGTTGAGATCCCCACCCCAAAACTATATATACAAATGCTGGGCATAAAGAGACGAATGCAGTCAGGATATTAGAATTGACCCCAGGGTCTGCTCCACCCCTGCCCCCCCCTTGCGGACTTAACTCCTGGGTCATAACTTTGAAACGGTTGAGATCCCCACCCCAAAACTATATATACAAATGCTGGGCATAAAGAGACGAATGCAGTCATTATATCAGAATATACCCTGGGGTCTGACCGAACCCCAAGGGACCTAGTTTCTTAGTCCCAACTTGTAAAAAGTTGAGAGCCCCACCCTATAACGGTATATACAATTGCTGAGTATAAAGAGATGATTGCACATATGCTTCCAGGATTGGCCTTGGGGACTGCCCCACCCTTGGAGACTTAACCCCTGTGTCATAACTCCGAAATGGTTAAGATCCCCACCCCAAAACTATATATACAAATGCTGGGCAAAAAGAGACAAATGCAGTCAGGATATTAGAATTGATCCTGTGGTCTGGACACAACCCTAGGGACCTAGTTTCTGAGTCAAAGCTTGGAAACAGTTGAGATCCCCACCCCATAACCATACATGAAATTGCTGGGCATGAAAAATCTAATACAGATATGCTACAAGGATTGGCCTTGGGGTCTGGCATATTCCCTTGTACTTTCAGTAAAACTAACTTAAATGCAAAAACTTAATGTTGACGCTGGCCTTGGGGTCATGATTGCTTAGGTATACAGGTGAGCGATACAGGCCCTCTGGGCCTCTTGTTCAAAACATCAATTATTCTTAAGCAATATTGTATTCTATAATGTTATGACACAACTTTGCTACAGAATAAATAAGTGTAAACTAATTATATTTTCTCAACATATATATAGGATCTTACACAAGTTTCCATTTCATATGAGATTTATGAAACGATTCTTCAGAATTTTTCAATTTAGAGAGCCTTTGATAAAAAAATAATAAATGATTTATTTTCATAAATTTTATATGAAATGAAAACGAGTGTAAGATCCTTTTTATCACATAATCAAGATTTGTGGTATTTATTCGTATAAAACGACAATTTTTATTCAACCTTGAAATGTAAAAAGCCGCCATTTGGACTTGAGTGCATAAGTCTGTGACGTCATGTACTTGTCCTAGGCATGACGTCACAAGTGAAACAATTGAGACTTACAGCCAATCACAGGGCTGATAGGTCATATTACATGGGTTTATTCACTGGATAACACAGTACATTATGTGATAAAAACTTTATTTACAGTATCATTCATAAAATCCTGCATAATTAACAAATTTAAAAAATAATGATGTATTTCAATAAACTCCTGACCTAGTAGATTGCTGCTGGACTAGAGTCCTGGTCTTTGATTGGTCAGTTTTTGGGAGAAAAAACCCCAATAAGAACAAAATACTGCAGGCACATTACCATATCATAAAAAATCAACAAATTATTAGGAACTCACTCATGTTTCATCTGTAAATTTAATCGATAGATAAAACTGATAGTTCCTGTCAAAAAATCCTATTTTCAGGTACTACGGTAATACAGCATGTTTAAATTGTAGAGTCTGAAAACTGGTTGTATCACTCAGAGATGTTTAAAGACATAGTGGTATATACATAAAGGTTCCCCAATGAGTAATGGTGGGTTATCATGTTTATCTAACTCGAGTTAGTTAATTTTCAAATTGTATAAAGACACGAGGTTTACCGAGTGTCTTTTATAATTTTAAAATTAACTAATGAGAGTTAGTAATAATGTTGAACACTGAACATCATGGAGATCCTGTACATAACAGCTGATTGTGATGTTGAACACTGAACATCATGGAGATCCTGTACATAACAGCTGATTGTGATGTTGAACACTGAACATCATTGAGATCCTGTACATAACAGCTGATTGTGATGTTGAACACTGAACATCATTGAGATCCTGTACATAACAGCTGATTGTGATGTTGAACACTGAACGTCATTGAGATCCTGTATATCAATTTTGCTAAAAACTTCAAGTATCCCGTCTGGGGCCTCAAATGATAATCACCTTTTCACTACTTAAGCTACATTTGAATGCGTTCGCGTAAAAATGTAGTCCGTTCTTACATAGATGACAACATATTTCACAGTGTAGATTATATTTTATCTACAACATCAAATATCTAACAACATCAAAACTATACATATAACAAAACAGAACATTTATGATGCAGATTGTCTATTTCAAGCAGTTAAAGCGCGGATGAATACATCACAGTGTAAAAATTCTGCAAAATTAATCTTGTAAAGGTGCAAGACAGATCGGACGAGATAGAAAAATCTAGCATGGGGTATGACATGGGATATCTCTGTCTGAGGTGCGAGAAATATTCGCCCAGTCAAACTTTCACCCTTTGCCCATGATATCAATTTTCTAAATTGATTAAAACACCTAGAAACTAATCTAATAGCTGTATTATATGATATTTAATTTTAATGGTTTTTAATAGACCCCAAACTTCTAAGGTATGGAAGGATCGAAGAAGGTAACTAACCAGAGTCTGCTCTGGACACTACTCATTTATCAATGGAGATGGCACTAATAATCACTGTTTATCAAAACTCAAGTTAATTAGATTTAAATACAGAGCTATTGTTAGCTCTTCTATTTAAAATTTGAAAATGAATTAACAAGAGACACCTTAACATGATAAATAGCAATGGTCAGGACTTGAACTCCTCTCAACCACCATTTTAACCTGGTATGAAAATGTCAAATCCTCTTTACAAACAAGTCAAGCGTTGTAGTGGTCAATGTTATAAGTTTGTTTACCGATAAACAAAACTATTTTTACAGTTTTATACTTAAACTTTTATACAGAATACTTCAAATATTTGGTATTTCTAAATTTTCTGAGCAGTCTTGAGCATTAGCACATCGTCAAAGGACTATAACCCCCTATAGGACTATAACCGGCTATAGGACTATAACCCCCTATATGACTATTACCCCATATTGGACTATAACCTCATAAAGGACTATAACCCCCTATAGGACTATAACCCCCTATAGGACTATAACCCGCTTTAGGACTATAACCCACTATAGGACTATTACCCCATATAGGACTATAACCCCCTATATGACTATTACCCCATATAGGACCATAACCTCCTAAATAGGACTATAACCTCGCTTGGCCATTTATGGAATATTATGGAACATTCTATAAATGGTCATATGAGATGCAACCACTAGTATATCAGTGTTGGGAATTGAGAATGATGTCGAAATCTCGGAAAGTCTCACTGTAGGCATGGTCTAGAAGAGAGTCAACTGTTCGTACATTTTTATTAATATGCTCTACTCCAATGACACATGTGCACTGAAAGGGGGATCTAATTTTAGAGGTATACGTCTAATACAGATTGAATGCTTGGTGTTTTTTTTTGATCGGTTAAAAATGGCGTAACATACTTATCATTATATCTTCCGCATGATATTGATCATAATGATTATTTTATATATAGCTGCCCTAGAAATAACGGCTTCATGTATTTACGCTTTTCCTGATCATTGAATGTGTACAGTTTATAGTGTAATGCAAACTGATGTACTGAAATTATACACAATGTACACAGAGGCTTTTAAGCTGTTGAAATTTAGGCGTTACTAGACGTTCAACAATCTGAGCACAGCTAAATAATAAAATGCGCTGGTCTATTTTTGCATTATAAATTTCTTAAATCCATTGTATTCTTATGTTTTAAGCAGTTTTATAGGTGAAAAACTGACTTGTAATCATGTACATGAAAACTACCGTTTATCTTTTGATACATCCGTCAAAAGATGGTACGTTTTATGTTTTCACATGAACCAGCGGTGTTTGCTCAATATCTTGAGTAATAATTAATTGTCATATTAACTTTAACTGGTTACAAAGTGACAAACTACCAGAAAAGCAAGGAAGATATTAATTACCACCATTTTTTAACTGTTCAAAATCTCATATTGTGCCCCCTCCCATTTTGTGGCGGGGCAGAAAAACACCCAACTTCATTATACAGTCCGTTTAAGTGTAAGACATACAAGGTCATCTAAATCACAAATAGTGATAAATACAGATTCATCTGGATTGGTATGTCGACTGTTCCCCGACTCATGTTCACTGCGGAACCTTCAATTTGAAGGTTTTGGTCAAGGTTGAAACAAAGCAAGGCATCTGTTTACCGCCCTCTTGGGCCTGGAACTTTAATGCGACTTCGCGATTGACACAATTAAGCAGTGTGTAAATATCCACTTGGCCTTGACCATTGAGCAGGGTTTGCAGTTCATCACAGAACTTTCCAATAAAAGGTGTCCCACTCGCTGTGTTCCTCCATGCCTTTTTACCTGAAACAATATAATTATTATTACACACTTGAGAGTGTATTGAACATTTATGTTGTACACTGGTTAACTACACCAAAATCTGTTGTATCAATTTATTGTTAATCACAAGTGAAAATACAAGAGGCCCAGAGGGCCTGTATCGCTCACCTGGATATCAAAGCAATCATGGCAAAATATTCTCCTAATCAGATTCAAGGGAATGGGCAAGAAAGACCCTAAGGCCAAACCTTGTAGCATATCTGTTAGATTTTTCATACCCAGAAAGTTTATGTATGGTTATGGGGTGGGGATCTCAATTGTTTCCAAGCTTTGACTAAGAAACTAGGTTCCTAGGGTCAATTCTTATATCCTGAAAGTATTTGTCTCTTTATGCTTAACAATTATATATATAGTTTTGGCGTGGGGATCTTAACCGTTTCCAAGTTTTGACCCAGGGGTTAAGTCTCCAAGGTTCGATCAAGACCCCGGAGCCATCCTGGAAGCATATGTGCATTCTTCACTTTATACTCAGCAATTGTATATATGGCTGTAGGGTGGGGATCTCAACCATTTCGAAGTACATGTAATAAACTGTTTTTGGCCCCAACCTTTACCTTAGCCCAGGGGGTCAGCACTGCTATTTGTACAATTTTGAATCCCCACCTCCCATGAATGCTTCCAACCAAATATGATTGATATCCAGTGCATAGTTCTACAGAAGAAGTCATTTAAAGCAATAAAGCCAAATTGCCATCTTTTGGCCCCGCCCCTCAACCCCCTACGGGGTCAGTCCCACTATTTGTACAATTTTGAATCCGCGCTACCTAGGGATGCTTCCAGTCAAATATGGTTGATATCCATCTCTTGGTTCAAGATCTAGAGAATAAGTCGCTTAAAGCAATGTAGCAAAATAACCCTTTTTGGCCCCGTCCCACACACCCCTGGGGGTCAGCCCCACCATTTGTACAATTCTGAATCTCTGCCCCCAATGAATGCTTTCGACCAAATATAATTTATATTCAGTGCATAGTTCTACAGAAGAAGTCATTTAAAGCAATAAAGCCAAATTGCCATCTTTTGGCCCGCCCCTCAACCCCCTGGGGGGTCAGCCCCACCATTTTGTACAATTTTGAATCCGCATTACCTAGGGATGCTTCCAGTCAAATATGGTTGATATCCATCTCTTGGTTCAAGATCTAGAGAATAAGTCGCTTAAAGCAATGTAGCAAAATAACCCTTTTTGGCCCCGCCCCTCAGCCCCTTAGGGGTCAGCCCCACCATTTGTACAATTCTGAATCTCTGCCTCCCATGAATGCTTCCGACCAAATATGATTTATATCCAGTGCAAAGTTCTACAGAAGATTTAAGTTGTTTATAGCAATATAGCTAAATTGCCCCCTTTTTGCCTCACCCGTCAGCCCCACCAATTGTACAATTTTGAATCCCCACTACCTTGGGATGCTTCCAGTCAAATATGGTTGTTATCCATCTTTTCGTTCCACAGAAGACGTCGCTTAAAGCAATATAGCCAAATTGACCCCTTTTGGCCCCACCCTTCAGCCCCCTGGGGAGTCAGCCCAACCATTTGTAAAATTTTGAATCCCTACTACCTAGGTATGCTTCCAGTCAAATATGGTTGTTATCCATCTCTTAGTTCCTACAAAAGACGTCGCTTAAAGCAATATAGCCAAATTGACCCCTTTTGGCCCCACCCTTCAGCCCCCTGGGGAGTCAGCCCAACCATTTGTAAAATTCTGAATCCCCATTACCTAGGTATGCTTCCGGTCAAATATGGTTGTTATCCATCTCTTAGTTCCACAGATAGTCGCTTAAAGTAATAAAACTACATAACCCTTTTTGGCTCCGTCCCTCAGCATAAGCTCACTTTGGTCCTTTGCACCAGGTGAGCTAACAATACTGTTTCCCAGAAAATTTTCACCATGGTTTTACTTTCACCTTTTCTGCCAATCATAATGAGGGTGAATTTATCACTACAGCGAAGATAAGTAGACAGCGTAATATAAATAGTCATTTAATGCATGGGACGAAATTAACAAAGGGCGAATTTGATTTTTTGAGTGAAGGGCGAAAGTTTGCCGGTACACAGTAATGTCATAGGCAAACACATTGATTCCTCGCAGTACATGTCTTCAGATGAGTACACCGTAACAATGAAATGTCTACAAAACATGAATCATCTCTGCACTCTGTCTAACGTGAAAAACCATTAAAATGCACTCTCAAAGTATTGATGTTATGTCTAAAGAAAGAGTTTATTAGAGTACACTCCGTTTTTTGTGTTATATCTCCATAACATAAAAAATATATTTAAGTTAATCCTTATAATTTAATCTACTATACACAATCCCTGTGGAAATCCACTTTTATTGATGGACTCTTTTCTCTTAGAAGTTGTTATGCCGCTATATCAGCCAATCAAAAGCGACGCTACAAACGGCGACGTCAGTTTTTACGTTATTGGCCGATAGCATGATTTTTTAAGCCAATTTAAATGCTTTAAGCAAGATTAAATTATAAATAAATGAAACACTGACAAAACAGCATGGGCCCCGCTGTGTGTCTGACTGTATATTACCCATAAAAATATATTCACTGAGCAGAAGCCGTAGTGATATCATCATGGGTTTTGAAACATTGGTCATAAAGTTTTACATATGTTCGTTATCCACCAGTCACCATCAAGTATGAAGAAAATCAGACCTGGGAAGGACAGAAGTTTCTTGGGTAGTGAAAATACTGACAGACACAAAAATAGGGTCAAGGGGCCTAAAGATGCTCTCCTGTTCTAAATTGCCTTTCATTTTCCTAGCACTTTATTACAGCAAGTTTTTGGCTTTTTGTCATGACAATATATGACTCTATTGGCTTTTATAGTTGTTCAGTTTTAGTGCTCTGTGGCAGGAAGCTACATGCTGTAGATCATGACTTATATGGGTCTTCTTCAGAAGTCATTTGAGACTGTAATAGATCTAATGCCCATGATCCTGAATACAGGTCAAGGAAATTTCATTTCACAAACTGTAGAATTCAACACCAGCAAGCTACTGGCTTCTTATCACGACTCTAGGCTTTTAGGTTTTTCAAAAGAAATTGTTTGAGTGTTAATATATGATCCAAGTGACCTTAGATATAGGTCCAGGTTATTTCTTTTCCAAGTTTGTATCATTCCATATCAGCATTGTCTTAGCCACATATAACACAGTCCTTTTGGTTCTTCAGAAGAAGCTGTTAGAGCACTTTTAGTGATTTGACCCCATGGACCTTGCAATTAAGTTAAGGTAATTTCTTTTCCCATAATTTATAGCACTCTTAGACAGCAGGCTACTGGCCATACATCATGACTCTAGGCCTGTTTGTTTTCAGAAAAAGATGTTTGATTGATTTAACAAATTTGACTCTTGTGAACTTGAATATGGGTCAAGGTCATATATTTTCTATTTTAAAGTTTGTAGCACTCACTGCCAGCAAGTCTCTGGCTATATATCATAAATCTAGGTCTCTTTATTTTTCAGAAAAAGATAGAGATTTAGTGTATTAATGTTGTTTTTGATCCGACATTGAATAAAGTTTACGTTCATTTCTGTTTTAAAGGTTGAACCACTCCATGTTAGCAAGCTACGGGCCACATTTATCATGGATCCATACATTTTGGTCCTTCAGAAGAAGTTGTTTGTTAACACATTTGGCAGCTTTGACCTTTAATATGGTCAAGGTCATTTCTTTTCCAAAACTTTGTACTATTCCAAAACAACAAGATGCTGGGCACTTATCGTTTTGGATCCTCAGATGGGCTATCAAAGCTTTTCAAAACATTCTCGGGCGACATAATAAACATAGCAATAACGGAGATACTGTCATCTTTGGTGGAACTATGAGAGGATATGAAAGAATAAGTTTCATATTGTGAATTATACAAAAAATAGATAAAAATGATGTTTTTTGTCTGTTTCAATCATCCCAAAGATCTTGATAACTAGATTTTCCCAAGATATGACACCTATTTGGGCACTCGGATCTCTTCGAGTGTCCCATCTAAAACACTGTGGGCGGATTGGTCGAGTGGTTAACAATCCGGCCTTCCAGACAGGCGGCCGGGGTTCGATCCCCGAAGTCGCCGTACGCATGGAATATTAGAGAAAATGTTTTTCTCCTGCCCACACAACTCCAACAACCCAGGTGGAGTATAAAATGGTCTGGGATGGGTGTTGCGGTATCTGTGATGTAGCATTCAAGTGAGGTGGCACTATAAAAAGATGCCGTTGGAAGAACGATCCCATTACAAAACAGAACACAATACATCTCCAGCACACACTCAGGCATACACACATAGGGAGATATTAGCCAGGTGGCATAGGACTAGTAGTTAGCGCCTGATAAGGCAGCTCCTGCGAATTCCTCAATATTGTATTGATTAATATATATGCTAATTGTATTGACTGTATAAAATTGTATATCTATGTACTGTAAAGCGCTTTGGAGTGGCTTATGTTAGCTAGATAGGGCGCTATATCAAATGCTGTATATTTATTTTATTTATTTTATTTTTGTTTGTGAAATTTTAGTCCTAATCTGTATAAATTTTATTTTCTAATTTTGTGCAAAAATTTAAGCGTGTGTAAATAACCTGCTATACAGTAATTACTTGCTACTCTAGCTAGAGGAAGTTACCTTCTACAGTTGCATGGATAAAAAGGAAATCCATGTTGGCTGGTATGGTGAGGATGTCGACAGAGGTAGGCTCGACAGGCTCCTCGGGTATTTCCATATCCACTGGCTCATTGGGAAGAGCGTCAGCCACCACCCGGTCCTCATTCAGTACACGTATCACTACAGGTTTGCCCTCCTCATCTCCCCTACAGGCCTACAGTATACACAAGTTGAAATGTAATTATAGTACACCATAATGAGCTTTAGATAAAGGTGTTTCAGTTTATTACATATTTGAGCCCATGGACCAAAGAGTCATTTATTCAGACATATTTGACAACCCTTCACACCAGCAAGATAAGCTTTGATGCTCTGGACCTCATGGATCCTCAGAAGTTGTTTCAAGATTTTAACATACTCAATCCATAAGGGGGCTGGAAAGAGGGTCAAGAATATTTGTTGAGGATCCCCCCACCGCTGCCAAAAAGTGCAAATAAGTGTCAGAAATTGTTTTTTCTGGCAGGAATAAAGCTTTGATAAATCATTTCTGAAAAGAAACAAGAGGCCCAGAGGGCCTGTATAGCTCACCTGAATATTTAAGCAGTCATAGCAAAATATTCTCATTAAATATTATCCTGTACTACAAATATATCACACATAAACTTTGTTGGCTCCATCCCAGGAAGCTACCAGCCAAATATTATAAATCTATACTCTAAGATTATTCAGAAAAAGTCTTTTAATTGTGGTGTCTGACATATTTGACCCCTTGTAAGTAGGTCAAGGTCATTTTCCTTTTTGAACTTTGTCAGGCTCATTCCCAGGAAGCAACCAGCCAAATATGCAGATTCTATATCTTTAAGTTCTTCAGGAGAAGTTGTTTAAAGTGTTTGATACATTTGACCCCTGATATCTTGAAAGTAGGCCAAGGTCGTTTTCATTCTCAAACATTGTCTGGCTTTATCCCAGGAAGCAACCAGCTAAATATGAAGATTGTATCTATACCTTTCAGTTCTGCAGAAGAAGTTGTTAAAAGCGTTTCACATATTTGATCCCTGATACCATGAAAGTAGGTCAAGGTAATTTTCATTCTCAAACTTTGTCGACTCTATCCCAGGAAGCAACCAGTCAAATATAAAGATTCTATACCTTTCAGTTCGTTTGAAGTGTTGAACACATTTGACCTCTGACACCTTGAAAGTAGGTCAAGGTCATTTTCATTCTTAAACTTTGTCTGGTTCTTTCCCAGGAAGCCACCAGCCAAATATGAAGATTCTATCCTTCTTAGTTCTTCAGAAAAAGACCTTTGAAGCGTTTGACATATTTGACTGCTGAAACCTTGAAAGTAGGACAAGGTCATTTTGATTATCAAACTTAGTCTGGCTCTATCCAAGGAAGCCACCAGCCAAATACTGTATGAATTCGAAGATTCTATATCTTTCAGTTTTTCAGAAGAAGTTGTTTAAGCGTTTCACATATTTGACTCCTGTGACCTTGAAAGTAGAAAGTAGAAAATCACTCCTGTGCAAGGCTTTATTGACGACAGCTGTTCATTATTTTGCATCTCTCACTTTTTGGACTGCTTGGCCACAGATTACTTTAATTGTAAGTCGAACGTAGTTTTAAGGATTTACATATGTACTGTGTTAATATTGTAATGCAGATCGGTTTAAATTCTATATATTTTGTGAATTAATTGAATTTTTCAATTAATTGGAATTTGAATTTTGCACCATTTTTTTTACTCTTTTATAAGTTTAGGAACAATGAATTTGATCGTTTGATTATTTGTAATTGTTGAATTTCCTTACATGTAGTGTCACCACAGTGTGTACACCAGTACGGGTTGTTTCCCTTGGATTAAGACCCTCTTCCCTATGAAGAGGTGGGTTGTGTTTGTGAACCTTTTTATATTTGAAACTGGTTGTGAAGTATACTTATGATTCTTATATTGTGATAAGTAACAGTTGCTGGTAATATGCTAGTATACATACATTTTTCTTTACAAAACTGAATCCTCTTCATCATTGGTGACACAGGTAAATATTTCCTTCCAATTCAGATGATATTACTCTAAGGGTTATGGTGAAAGAGTCATTTAAAAGAAAAAGTTTACAAAGATGACAAAAGGCAGATGATGGACACCACACTTGACAATATTAATGAATGCCAACAAAACAATGGTATAAGATCCTTTACCTTTTGGGTCAGGTAAGCTCTGACCGTTTCATAGAGAAAGGCTGTTGATCACAGTCTTTCACTGACTGCGAGGACTAGGAAGATATAATCTTTACATTTCATGATTTGGTATAAAATGTGGGATATTTCTATATTCAGATCCGAGTTTTGATCAAAGTGACTGCTGAAAACCTACCTGTACAATAAAGACCTTTGGTTTATTCAGTAGGGTTTGACAGTTTTCAGCATCAAAAATGTCTGTCAAGTCAGTCAGTTTCATCTGGCTATCTGTTGCCCATAAGCCATCTTTGTTGCCATGTGTCAAAATGGCACAGAAAAAGGCAGAATGATCTTTGTGGTCCAGGCTTGCAACTAGAAATAAAAATGTTTTTAATAGATTTCAACTGATTTTATCTTCAAAGTATTACCTAAAACAGTGGACAATCAAAAGAGGCAGTAACAGTGCTACCAGGTATCCCATCTGTAACTCAGTGTCAACTTTGTATTTCTCTTACCCTGGACAGGTGTATCCACACTTTACACGTGCGATATATCCCAATCTCACCCCAGGGTTGAGACGGGGGGATTCCCCTATTCATAACAATGACATGATGTAAAGTCAACAATCATTCAACGTCACGTCAACCCTGAATTTAGCCTGTAATGTTAACATACATTATGCAAATGATACACAATGGGTGAACAGGGTAAGAGAAAAAGAACCATTGACCACCACGAGGGTGAGATAGGGGAATATCAACCCTCGGGGACGATTCTTAAGTTGCCAAACACTCGGCAAAGCCTCCTGTCTACTCACTTAAGAATCTTCTCCCTTGGGTTGTGATTTCCCTTTCCCACCGAAAAAGGAGATGAGCGATTCTATAAATCTCATCTATTAATCTACTTCACGGAGATGAAATATTGCACGATGTTGCTAGTTAAAATGATTGCACTCAAAAGGGTACCAGTACTTCTGTTTTGGGTGATGAGATTTATATCAAAGTAAAATAGTAAACTGAATTGTTGTTTTATCTTCATGATTCGGCAGTAAAAGGGGAAACAGTTTTGATTTTTTATTCATTGTATTTACATTCTCAGGGTATTTATTTTGCGCTATCTTTGGTGACCGTGAATATAGTGAAATTGAATACCTCACAAAAATTAGCAACTATGCAGTAATTACATTTTATTGTGGGCATGATATAACTTAAACACACAAAGCGCTGAAAGCAATCTACATAGTCCCATTATTTCCTAACAAGCTATGGCATAAAAATGTACAAAAGGGCATGGGGTGGGGTACAAGAGGTGATTTCAGAGCTTGACAATGCACCATCCTCATAGACACTTGTATACAACCCTAGTAATGGTGGCTGGTAAATAAGAGAAATGGCCTAAAAATGTCATTTACAGTAAATAAAGGGCCATAACTCTGTATCTAATTAGGGCACTACTTTTTTATATCTGATTTTGTACCCAACATTCTGCATTCCCAAAAAGTACTCGCATGCCAAATTTGGCAATTGTATGCCCCAGACAAAGTAATCTAAGGTAGCTAGGACATGATAGTGCATAAAAGTTTCTGATTTTGAAAGTTAAGAAATGGACACATCACTTTTAAAATCATCCAACTTACTTCTTCTCAACTCTGCCATCAGCTCCTCTTTGGACATGTCAACTAAATGTACGGTATGGTAACCAAACTCGTCAAACCTATTTATCAAATTGGATGCATCCCTATCAGTTCCGCTTCGGTCATGCAATCCCCGTCCATTAAATGCCCTGTTGTTGATTACCACAGCGTAACCAGGTTGGTCACAGGTCTTGTATTCCAAAGCTTCCAGATCACTTCTGTTCACAGCAGGTTCCTCTGGATCTACATCTGGATTTCTAAGATTAAATCAAAATCCATTTAGCAATATGATAAAATTCTGTAGGTGTTTATGATTATATAAATAAATGAGAAGTGCAGCAGTTAAGTGCACAAATGGCACCTACCTTATACCATATCTGGTCCTGGTTGTGGTAAGGGTTGACCTTCCCTGACCTAAGTTTGACTTACCTGTTATATACCATATCTGGTCCTGGTTGTGGTAAGTGTTGACCTTCCCTGACTTAAGTTTGACTTACCTGTTATACCAATTCTGGTCCTGGTTGTGGTAAGGGTTGACCTTCCCTGACTTGAGTTTGACTCACCTGTTATGTATCATTTCTGGTCCTGGTTGTGGTAAGGGTTGACCTTCCCTGGCTTAAGTTTGACTTACCTGTTATATACCATTTCTGGTCGTGGATGTGGAAAGGGTTAACCTGCCCTGACTAAAGTTTGACTTACCTGTTATATAATTTCTGGTCCTGGTTGTGGTAAGGGTTGACCTTCCCTGACTTAAGTTTGACTTACCTGTTATATACCATTTCTGGTCGTGGATGTGGAAAGGGTTAACCTGCCCTGACTAAAGTTTGACTTACCTGTTATACACCATTTCTGGTCGTGGTTGTGGTAAGGGTGGACCTTCCCTGACTTGAGTTTGACTTACCTGTTATATCATTTCTGGTCCTGGTCGTGGTAAGGGTTGACCTTCCCTGACTTGAGTTTGACTTACCTGTTATATACCATTTCTGGTCCTGGTTGTGGCAAGGGGGGACCTTCCCTGACTTGAGTTTGACTTACCTGTTATATCATTTCTGGTCCTGGTTGTGGTAAGGGTGGACCTCCCCTGGCTTGAGTTTGACTTACCTGTTATATACCATTTCTGGTCCTGGTTGTGGCAAGGGGGGACCTTCCCTGACTTGAGTTTGACTTACCTGTGATGCAGAAGATCTGGTCCTGGTTGTGGTAAGGGTGGACCTTTCCTGACTTAAGTTTGACTTACCTGTTATATAACTTCTGGTCGTGGTTGTGGTAAGGGTTGACCTTCCCTGACTTAAGTTTGACTTCCCTGTTATATAACTTCTGGTCGTGGTTGTGGTAAGGGTTGACCTCACCTGACTTAAGTTTGACTTACCTGTTATATATCATTTCTGGTCCTGGTTGTGGTAAGGGTTGACTTTCCCTGACTTAAGTTTGACTTACCTGTTATACCAATTCTGGTCCTGGTTGTGGTAAGGGTTGACCTCACCTGACTTAAGTTTGACTTACCTGTTACATCATTTCTGGTCCTGGTTGTGGTAACGGTGGACCTTCCCTGACTTGAGTTTGACTTACCTGTTATATACCATTTCTGGTCCTGGTTGTGGCAAGGGGGGACCTTCCCTGACTTGAGTTTGACTTACCTGTTATGTAACATATCTGGTCGTGGTTGTGGTAAGGGTTGACCTTCCCTGGCTTAAGTTTGACTTACCTGTTATATCATTTCTGGTCCTGGTCGTGGTAAGGGTTGACCTTCCCTGACTTGAGTTTGACTTACCTGTGATGCAGAAGATCTGGTCCTGGTTGTGGTAAGGGTGGACCTTTCCTGACTTAAGTTTGACTTACCTGTTATATACCATTTCTGGTCGGGGATGTGGAAAGGGTTAACCTGCCCTGACTAAAGTTTGACTTACCTGTTATATAATTTCTGGTCCTGGTTGTGGTAAGGGTTGACTTTCCCTGACTTAAGTTTGACTTACCTGTTATATCATTTCTGGACCTGGTTGTGGTAAGGGTGGACCTTCCCTGACTTAAGTTTGACTTACCTGTTATATAACTTCTGGTCGTGGTTGTGGTAAGGGTTGACCTTCCCTGGCTTAAGTTTGACTTACCTGTTATATCATTTCTGGACCTGGTTGTGGTAAGGGTGGACCTTCCCTGACTTGAGTTTGACTTCCCTGTTATGTAACATATCTGGTCGTGGTTGTGGTAAGGGTTGACCTTCCCTGGCTTAAGTTTGACTTACCTGTTATATCATTTCTGGACCTGGTTGTGGTAAGGGTGGACCTTCCCTGACTTAAGTTTGACTTACCTGTTATATACCATTTCTGGTCCTGGTTGTGGTAAGGGGTGACCTTCCCTGACTTGAGTTTGACTTACCTGTTATATACCATTTCTGGTCCTGGTTGTGGTAAGGGTAGACCTTCATTTGGCTGTAATGGAACAGTGTCTGCTGCATCTATGTAATAAAAAAAAATAACCTCTGATTACCAGAAACTTTAAGTTTGAAGTCCAAAATATTGAGGGGTTTTCTCACTTATGATTCAGTTATCATTTATGAAACGACCATATTTCTCTAGCAACCATACAGAAACAGCAATATATATAAGGGAATGCATTCTTCATTAACACTTGTGTCACATCAATGTATATGTATAAACGTTGGCATTAACATATAGGTGTCAACCTCTGAAACCTCCAATGACAGAAGTCACCCTCATTCAACATTTCCAAAGACAGGGAAAATGCATTTTTTCTTTCCATTTTTATGTATCAAAATAACTCAAAAAGCATTCATTTGATTCAGACACACCTGTTATGATCATTACACACACCCTGTAGTAACTAGGAGATAATTTAACCACAGAATGTAGATTTTCAGTGTATGTGAATTTGGTCTTGAAAGAAGGAGTTTTGAGGGAGATTGGTAAATTTTGGTCAAAATGGGGGAGTCTCCCTCCCAATGAGGGAGGGTTGACAGCTTTGCATTGATGATAACTTAAACTAGAAAACATGATATTCCCACATTTTCTTGGAGAACATATACATAAAATAACAACAAGACGTCTCCGAGGGATTGTAGTGCCTACCTCTCTACCGTCTTCATTGGTTCTATGTAAGATTGATCTTCTCTCATCTTTTTTCTTATTTGTTGGATTGTTTCTTGTAAACAGTTAATGCACCTCATGGTAACTTTTGATAAAACTTCATGCTGCTGTGTTTGTTGTTTTGTGTATTTACAAGCACAGTATTTTGAACATTAGGAAATCCTACATTTGAAATTTAAGAAAGATTGGTCAAGTGCTTCTTAGGGAAAACGTGATATCAAACTGAAATTCCAATCAGCCCCAAAATGGGGTGCACAAATATGTACCACAGGAAACTTACATTTAAACTTTTAGAATAATTCCTCCAGTACTTTCTGAGAACTTGAACTCTCAACATTCAAAATAGCCATCTGTGTTCCAAGTTGGTTTCTGATGTCCCAAAATTCTTTAGACTCAATGACATGTATAGAACCATAGCAAACCTACATATGAAATTTGGGAAAGATCACTCCAGTACTTGAAAGAGTGACTCTCAAAATTCTGTCAGCAATCTTAGTTTTCCGATCAGTACTAAAATGCCATATTTCAAATGCGCAACTTTGCACCATTGGGAAGTGGGAACCTAAAAATGAAATTTGAAAAAGATTGACTGCATATGGGAGGATTGATTGTTTTGTCTGGAGGAGTTAGTTATTTGGTAACTGATTTTCTGGTGGAGATAGTTTTAGGTAACTGATTGTCTGGGGGAGATAGTTATAGGAAACTGATTGTCTGGGGGAGATAGTTATAGGTAAATGATTGTCTGGGGGAGATAGTTATAGGTAACTGATTATCTGGGGGAGATAGTTATAGGTAACTGATTGCCTGGGGGAGATAGTTATAGGTAACTGATTGTCTTGGGGAGATAGTTATAGGTAACTCATTGTCTGGTAACTGATTGTCTGGGGGAGTTAGGTTTTGGGTAACTCATTGTCTGGGGGGGATAGTTTTAGGTAACTGATTGTCTGGTGGAGATAGTTATAGGTAACTAATTGTCTGGGGGAGATAGGTATATGTAACTGATTGTCTGGGGGAGATAGTTTTAGGTAACTGATTGTCTGGTGTAGATAGTTATATGTAACTCATTGTCTGGTGGAGATAGTTATATGTAACTGATTGTCTGGGGGAGTTAGTTATTGGGTAACTGATTTTCTGGTGGAGATAGTTATAGGTAACTGATTGTCTGGGGGAGAAAGTTATAGGTAACTGATTGTCTGGGGGAGATAGTTTTAGGTAACTGATGGTCTGGTGGAGATAGTTATATGTAACTCATTGTCTGGTGGAGATAGTTATATGTAACTGATTGTCTGGGGGAGATAGTTATAGGAAACTGATTGTCTGGGGGAGATAGTTATAGGTAACTGATTATCTGGGGGAGATAGTTATAGGTAACTGATTGTCTGGGGGAGATAGGTATAGGTAAATGATTGTCTGGGGGAGTTAGTTATTGGGTAAGTGATTGTCTGGGGGAGTTAGGTTTTGGGTAACTCATTGTCTGGGGGGGATAGTTTTAGGTAACTGATTGTCTGGTGGAGATAGTTATAGGTAACTGATTATCTGGGGGAGATAGTTATAGGTAACTGATTGTCTGAGGGAGATAGTTATAGGTAACTGATTGTCTGGGGGAGTTAGTTATTGGGTAACTGATTGTCTGGGGGAGTTAGGTTTTGGGTAACTCATTGTCTGGGGGAGATAGTTTTAGGTAACTGATTGTCTGGTGGAGATAGTTATATGTAACTAATTGTCTGGGGAAGATAGTTATATGTAACTGATTATCTGGGGGAGATAGTTATAGGTAACTGATTGTCTGGGGGAGAGAGTTATAGGTAACTGATTGTCTGGTGGAGTTAGTTATTGGGTAACTGATTGTCTGGGGGAGTTAGGTTTTGGGTAACTCATTGTCTGGGGGAGATAGTTTTAGGTAACTGATTGTCTGGGGGAGTTAGTTATTGGGGAACTGATTGTCTGGTGGAGATAGTTATAGGTAAATAATTGTCTGGGGAAGATAGTTATATGTAACTGATTATCTGGGGGAGATAGTTATAGGTAACTGATTGTCTGGCGGAGATAGTTATAGGTAACTAATTGTCTGGGGAAGATAGTTATATGTAACTGATTATCTGGGGGAGATAGTTATAGGTAACTGATTGTCTTGGGGAGATAGTTATAGGTAACTGATTGTCTGGGGGAGTTAGTTATTCGGTAACTGATTGTCTGGTGGAGATAGTTATAGGTAACTAATTGTCTGGGGAAGATAGTTATATGTAACTGATTATCTGGGGGAGATAGTTATAGGTAACTGATTGTCTTGGGGAGATAGTTATAGGTAACTGATTGTCTGGGGGCGTTAGTTATTGGGTAACTGATTGTCTGGTGGAGTTAGTTATTGGGTAACTGATTGTCTGGGGGAGATAATTATAGGTAACTGATTGTCTGGTGGAGATAGTTATATGTAACTAATTGTCTGGGGAAGATAGTTATATGTAACTGATTATCTGGGGGAGATAGTTATAGGTAACTGATTGTCTGGCGGAGATAGTTATAGGTAACTAATTGTCTGGGGAAGATAGTTATATGTAACTGATTATCTGGGGGAGATAGTTATAGGTAACTGATTGTCTGGCGGAGATAGTTATAGGTAACTAATTGTCTGGGGAAGATAGTTATATGTAACTGATTATCTGGGGGAGATAGTTATAGGTAACTGATTGTCTTGGGGAGATAGTTATAGGTAACTGATTGTCTGGGGGCGTTAGTTATTGGGTAACTGATTGTCTGGTGGAGATAGTTGTAGGTAACTAATTGTCTGGGGAAGATAGTTATATGTAACTGATTATCTGGGGGAGATAGTTATAGGTAACTGATTGTCTGGTTGAGATAGTTATAGGTAACTGATTGTCTGGGGGATTTAGTTATTGGGTAACTGATTGTCTGGGGGAGATAATTATAGGTAACTGATTGTCTGGTGGAGATAGTTATAGGTAACTGATTTTCTGGGGGAGTTAGTTATTGGGTAACTGATTGTCTGGTGGGGATAGTTATAGGTAACTAATTGTCTGGGGAAGATAGTTATATGTAACTGATTATCTGGGGGAGATAGTTATAGGTAACTGATTGTCTGGTGGAGTTAGTTAAGGGGTAAGTGATTGTCTGGTGGAGTTAGTTATTGGGTAACTGATTGTCTTGGGGAGATAGTTATAGGTAACTGATTGTCTGGGGGCGTTAGTTATTGGGTAACTGATTGTCTGGTGGAGATAGTTGTAGGTAACTAATTGTCTGGGGAAGATAGTTATATGTAACTGATTATCTGGGGGAGATAGTTATAGGTAACTGATTGTCTTGGGGAGATAGTTATAGGTAACTGATTGTCTGGGGGCGTTAGTTATTGGGTAACTGATTGTCTGGTGGAGTTAGTTATTGGGTAACTGATTGTCTGGTGGAGATAATTATAGGTAACTGATTGTCTGGGGGAGTTAGTTATTGGGTAACTGATTGTCTGGGGGAGATAGTTATAGGTAACTGATTGTCTGGTGGAGAGAGTTATAGGTAACTGATTGTCTGGTGGAGTTAGTTATAGGTAACTGATTGTCTGAGGGAGTTAGTTATATGTAACTGATTGTCTGGGGGAGATAGTTATAGGTAACTGATTGTCTAGGGGAGATAGTTATATGTAACTGATTGTCTGGGGGAGATAGTTGTATGTAACTGATTGTCTGGGGGAGTTAGTTATATGTAACTGATTGTCTGGGGGAGATAGTTGTATGTAACTGATTGTCTGGGGGAGTTAGTTATATGTAACTGATTGTCTGGGGGAGATAGTTATTGGGTAACTGATTGTCTGTTTATAGGTAACTGATTGTCTGGGGGAGAGAGTTATAGGTAACTGATTGTCTGGGGGAGATAGTTATATGTAACTGATTGTCTGGTGGAGATAGTTATTGGGTAACTGATTGTCTGGGGGAGATAGTTATTGGGTAACTGATTGTCTGGGGGAGATAGTTATAGGTAACTGATTGTCTGATGGAGATAGTTATAGGTAACTGATTGTCTGGGGGAGATAGCTATTGGGTAACTGATTGTCTGGGGGAGATAGTTATAGGTAACTGATTGTCTGGGGGAGATAGTTATAGGTAACTGATTGTCTGGGGGAGATATACTGGGGTTGACTGATTGCCTAGGGAGATAGTCTGAAGGAGATTGGTTGTTTGGTAAGGATCGATTGACTAGGGGAGATTGTCTGTAGGAGATTACTTGTTTTTGTTTAACATACTTTTAACAGCTAATATTATTTAAGGATGTGCATCCATGTGTGTATGTAGGTGTACATGTGTGTATGTGTGCTTGAGACAAGGTATATTGGCATGCATAGCACTCTGCCCAGTCACATGCTACTGACAACAGGTGAGCCAGTTGTCATTAAAATGGTGAATACTAAGCAGGAAATAATAAATATCATTTTTAATTAAGGACTTTGGTTTGTCCCGCCAAAGAGGACAGAACTTTATATTGCCTTCCTCACCTGGGCCAACATTCAATATTTACAACGCCAAAAGTGTATTGCCAACCAAGGCACTAGGAAATGAAGGTAGTCAGAGGTAGAGAAATATAAAGATCCAAAATGTTGCAATGGGTTGCTTTTGTGCCCCTAAGCACAATATTCTGCAGGGGTTTCCCACATTAGCAGCCTTTTATGATCATACAGTTGGTAACAGCAGGTATACTTTCTTTTTTCTATCCCCTACCTGCAGGGGTGGGGGGATTGATTGTTGGGGGCAGATTGATTGTCCGGAGGAGATTGATTGTCTGGAGGAAATTAATTAACTAGGGGAGATGAGTCTGTGGGAAATTGATTATCTGTGGGAGATTTATTGTCTTGGGGAGATAGTTTTGGGGTTGACTGGTTGTATTGGGTGTCTAAAGCATATTGGTTGTCTGGATCATGAGACTGAATTTCGGAGGGAGATTTATGATTATTTAATATTTACTTTTTTAAGGGGGGATAGTCATGATGGAGATATTGATTGTCGGAGGATTTGGTTGTTTATTTGCTTAGTATTGAAATTGTGAACGAAATATTTTACTGTTTTGAAAATTTTAGATGTGAATCAATCTACACAGGCATGTAAAACAAACTATTCCCTTTCAAAAACGAGAAACCAATGTACTTTCGTTTTATGTGTAACTGTGCAAGATAAAAATTAATCATTAGCATATTGCATTGTAGAACGCAACGTATACTGCAATTATTAAACCACTCTTTAAAATCTTACCTTGATTGACTTGCATATTTGCTAAGGATATTGACCGTTTTAACTTAATGAAAAGTTTTTTTCGTTATTCCCTTCCCTATCAAAAAGTCCTCTGCACCTTGGAAGCGTTTGTCGATTACGTTACCCTTAAAGGTAATACGTGACACGGATGGGATTTTGGAGGGAATTCCCCTTTTAACTGGGATTGTACTTTCGTTTTGATAGTTTGGTGTACGGACGTTGGTGAACTGCGTTGTTGTTAAAATGTCTGATAAGCGAGGTAAGATAAAAAAAAGAAGTATGGTAGTTAGTGAAACTTGCACGGATCATGATGAAATGGTTTGGAAATATCTCAAATGATTTATTTTAGGGCTCGACGACATCCAAAACGGTGTCATGTCTTTAAATTTCGCCCTTGAAGTCCTGTTCGCCCGAGTCGTTTCGCACTGAGTTGTTTCGCCGTAACAAAATTGGGAGTTCTTTGCTCTGTTTCATTGTATGGCTAATATAGTATAATTTGAAGTTTTTTAGGTTTCTATTAGCACTTTTTGTTATAAGACTCGTTAGATTTGTACGTTGTCGACCAGATAACAAATTATCCTTACATCTTGGAAAAACAGAGAGTATTTTGTTTGGCCCCAAAAGGAAACTTTCCAAATTACCTGAAGGATCATTTTCTGTTTCGTGTTACGGTAATATAATTATGCCTCAGGTGTGTGTCAAATATCTTGTATTATATTGGACAACTTTCTATCTAGAGAACAAATTGTCCAAAATATTATAAAAAAAGTGAACCAGAAATTGTGGTTTCTATATAGACACCGTGACTGTCTCAATTTTANGCACCTGCTCCTACAACGGGGGTTGTTTATCGCCCTAAATCCCGTTGGCGCTAAGCGTTGTTTCGCCCATAATTTAGACGTATAAAGCCAGAGTGTAGTATATACGTCTCTGTTTTGCCCTAAATCCCGTTCGCCCTAGGTTGTTTCACCCTATTTTTTTTTTTTAATTTATACGCTGAAATAATAATTGTTATTTTAAAATATCAACTCAACTTAATTGATATCTTTCATTGGTGTTAGGTATATTTTTCATTTTAGAAAAATACGCAGCTGTGCGAGTGCATCGAGTCAGCTTTTCACAGCTGCCGTTTGCGACACTGCATGATCGCTTAAAAACAACACAAACACATTTTTTTTTATAAAATTGATTTTAATAATATTGAATACTAAGAAGACTTAAGCTGTGACTTAAAACTACTAAAATCAATAAGTTCAAGAATATCATAACTATTCATCTTGGTTAATGCTATTAAGCCCACCATCATCTGAGGGTGGGTTAATCAAATCACCCTGCGTTCGTCCGTCGTCCACCGTCTGTCTTCCGTCCTTAGCAATTCTTGTTATCGGTATTTCTCAAGAAGTACCAGAGGGATCTTTCTCAAATTTTATATGTAGGTTCCCCTTGGTCCTTAGCTGTGCAGGGCAACTTTTGAGACTGATCAGATAAACAACATGGCCGACAGGCAGCCATCTTGGATTTTGATAGTGAAAGTTTGTTATCGCTATTTCTCAAGAAGCACCTGAGGGGTCTTTTTCAAATTTTATATGTCGGTTCCCCTTGGTCTTTAGCTGTGCATGTTATATTTTGAGACTGATCATAAAAACAAAATGGATTAAAAGAAGAACTAAACAGATCTTTCTCATATTGCAATGATCGATTCTATTTCTTTCACATTAAGTACTGTACTAGTAAATATGTGAAATGACAACTCACTTTGAAGGTTGGCTTTCATACACATCAGTATTATGTTAAGATCAAAAGTTACCTCAAGGTGCATTTACTGTTAACATGACTCGATCAAACTTATTAGAGGAAAGGAGAGAAAAGATTGATCTGACAATGAACTAATGAAGATGGTACAACTAGGTGGGTGCCAAGATCCCTTTGGGATCTCTTGTTTCTCTTCACATTCTGCTATTATGTATAGATAGAAATCCCCCCCATTTCTTTTATGTTATATTTGAAATGTAGCAGTATCTCCCCCTTTGCATGGTCCCATTGTCAAATCAAATTACATCCTCGATATCCAGGGGTTACACTCGCTTTTGCTCTCTACACCCCTGAAATATGTCATAGCAAAACTGAAGGCATGAAGATAGCTGTTTAATTGGTCTCAGGTAAAAACAACTGACCAATCGCTCGGCTGATACCTTGTCTTTGAAAATTACAAAGGAGAGACGCCCGACTTCAAAGCCTGTCAATTTTTACTGTTTCGTGACTGTGAGATTCTTTTGATGTTTATCAAAGGATCGAACTAGTCTTCTTGTCTCAACAACAAGGTGGCGCACACTGAGCCTTCAATTTTCTATGACATATTCCAGGGGTGCAGAGAGCGAAAGTGAGCGTATCCCCTGGATATCGAGGATGATCAAATTAGTACTACATTGTCAAAGTGAGATATGGGATTGTGACAATATACTGACCAACGTTAATATTCATATCCGCACAAAATATAAATTATTTCCCATAGCCTTCATCAAACTCCATATCTCGAAACAGCCCTGTGTTGTAAGTTTGTCAGTCAGCTTTGTCAACATAGATGAATCTATAATGTATTTCAGGTTAGGCTTTCTGAAGATTTTTAACTGACCTGGAAAGTGTTTAAATCGTTGTCACTGAAATAGATGGTGACCCGTTTCTGGAAAACCAAACCTCACATGTCATGTGGTTTTGTCCTATACATCAAGCAAGTAAAAACACAATGCTTCTCCAAAATAATTTATAAACATATCATGCATAATTTTAGATCATCTTTGAAATAAATATTTGATTTTTTATTAGGAAAGAAGACAGTTGGTGAGGACCAGTCTGACGCTCGGGGCAACAAACCAGATCAGATAGATGCTGTACGCTCAAGGTAGGTAGCATCTTCACTACTGTAATGATAAAGTCTACTTAATGAATGGTTTTTGAATTATTTAACTGGTAGAATAGTTGATTAGGGAAGAGGTGGTATGCAGAAATAGTTCAAATTACTGAATTTATAGACGAAAATGTGGTTTTATCATAGTACTTTAGATAAAAAATTAATTCATGCTGAAAGTTTTATTTGAGTTCTTAATCAGTGAAGTTACAATTTCCTAGTAAACTTTCTGTTCCTTTCACATCAGTACCTGTGGTAAATTGCCTTGGTACCAGTCATGAATTTCAATATTTCAATTTTCAATAACAGATTTAATGTTAACTTTTTTATATTTCATGTTTGAATATAATATCTTACAATCTGATTATAACCAGATCTTTCATTCCACTCTATGTTCCAGTCACTGGAACGTAGAGTATCAGAGTTAAATTAAAGATCTGGTTTTAATCAGGTTGTTAATCTAAGGAAATATATGTGACTTCCATTTCTTGTATGATTACTGCAGTCAACAGGTGTCTCCTGCACCAGAAAATGGAACAGAAGTCAGAATGACAGTTTCTGACCTGACCAGGGACACTTATGAAATAGACACAGAGCGATTCCCGCACAAGGGCAAAGTTCTCATCTTCAACAACATCAACTTCAATAATGGGATGCCTGATCGAGTCGGTAGCGACCAAGATGCTTCCACTATGTACCAAAGATTCTGTGATTTGGGGTTTGAACCAACGTTGTTTAACGACTGTACTCATGATGATATCATGGAAAAGCTCAAAGGAGGTAGTATGTCAGTTTACATTGTTTTAATGAAAACGTCTACAAAACTTTTTTGGGATAACAGATGATTATTTTATGCAAAACATGTTGAAGCTAGCTCTCATGACATAAGTGATTCCAGTATTATTTAATACCTAGAATGTTATCGTAACTCACCAACCTGTTAGTTTAAGCAGTAGGTATGTACTATTCAGTGTGAACACCTGGGCCTGTATTCATGAAACCGTTCTCATGCTCACGCATGGATTTTGTGCTCAAGCCTAATTTCTTGTTCCACTTATAAATTATTAAAAAAAATCTTGTTATGTCAAGGATTTGGAAAAACAAATGTTAAGATACTTCAAGCCCAATACTGTTTTCAATGTTTACAATTGACTTTTTGATCGTTTGACATGATTTAAGCGAGTTACAAGAAAGCTGGTTTGAGCACAGAATCCATGCTTGGGCATGAGAACGGTTTCATGAATACGGGCCGAGGTTCATCAGAGTTTTAATTATAACTGGCCTAATATTACAGGCCTCGTGATTATGTACTTCTTTACATATCAAATTCCAAAGTTTCATAGCAACATGTAAAAATGTCGACAAAAACTATTCATTTGAATCGTAAGGTATTGCAAAATTCAAGTCATGATCCTATTTGGGTGCTGACATTTGCAAAAAACCAGAACCGCTAGTCAGTGAGGTCAGAGTGCTGTATAGATATATCACACATGAGCTCTATTTCATTGGTAAAGAACACCCGTCGATACTATTCTTTTCGTACAATATGCAACCATAAAGGAATATAATTCATCCAATGAACTTTTAATTAAACGATAAAATGATTTGTTCGGTGATCTGTTTTGCTGGGTACTGACACCTTCTAAGTCCTTCTTTAATATCTGATTGTGAAATTTTACTTCACAGCCATTTACTTTTGCTTTCCAGTTGCGAGTGAAGACCATGGCTCATACAGCTGTTTTGCGTGTGTGGTTTTGTCACATGGGGATCAAGATGGTATCTGGGCAACAGACAAATCTCCTGTCCTCAAAACTGAACACCTAATGGCTACAGTGAACGCTCAAAACTGTAAAAGTCTTATTGGGAAGCCGAAGCTCTTCATCATTCAGGTATATACTCATGGTCCAGTTTACTGAATCCTTATGGTATATGGTGCTTCTCCACCAGATACAGCCATGTAGCGGTTCCCAAATGAGTGATGGTTGGTTATCATGTTTATCTAACTCGTTTTCAAATTTCATAGAGACACAAGGTTTACTGGCAAAAATTAACTAAGGAAAGTTCTGTAAACATGATAATCAACCATCATGAGTTTGTGGACATTTTCCTCCCACATTGCAAAGCATTGTAACTCAGAGTCATAATAAGAAGATTGACCAATTATAACGTTCAGGGTGTTTCCCACTTGTGGATAACCAACAACGTTTACCAACTCCTAGCAGGTTTGCCTAGTGAGTTGTGAGTGAGGAAATCTATAGTAGTAGTTGTGGGAGAAAGTGATTTTCAAGACTTACGACACATTAGTTACCATGAGTGATATTTATAATAATGAATGAGTTGAAATACCGGAGGAGCCTGTAGATTTATGCTTGGACTGTCAGTCTGAGTATATCTTCTACACTCTGTTGCAATTACCAAACTTAGTATATGAGTAATATGTGTACCTATTGGAATGATGGACTATTTAGGGGATAGTACGTTGTTTTGAGTGGCTATACTGGCGATTATTTGTATAGATTTGTGAAGAGTTCTGTGTAAATGCATACGACACATGTGAAATGTTTCATTTGATTTGGGATCTAAATATATGCCTTCACAAGGATGGAATGAACGTTTCAGTAATAAATGGAGGTAAGACCAAGGAATGAGTACTTTTTACTTTTTAATTCATTCGACAAATACATTTCATTGGTCGTTTACTTTCTGTTCTGTTGCCTGCTAGCCTTATTAGCGGGATTTCGCTAAGAGGCGAGCTTGACGCCATACTGTTTTGGTTTGAAACGGGGCGTGGCTTAAGTGCAGTGGGAGGAGCTTAACACGATTGATCATGATTCTATCGCAGATTAGAACATGGTCCGTATCCAATCAAAACACACGATGCAAACGAATCGTGTAAGAATACGTAATACAATAAGGGCTTCTGCCCTAATTCTTACAGTGTTATGGCCCTTTATCAATATTTAATACCAAAGTTGGTACATAGCATAAATCACTTTTTCTTTCCCCTTTGTCAAACCAGCTTTGCTCGAACCAACTATTAGGCTCCATACTTTGACCGTTGGAGGGTTGATGATCACCAGGTCAAGTGCAATATTACATCGTGTTACGATTTACTCCAACAGAAACTATTCAGTGTCATCTGACCAAATATATTTAACTTAACCCTTTCACCACTGTATACCATAATGGACTTATATCCATATCAATGCATGGTAGAGTCTATTAAAGTTACATAGGGGTGGAACGGTTAAGTATGATGAGAAAGCCAGGTGGAAAATGGGGAGTGTGCATGGTTTTACTGGGAAATTTCTTGGGAACTGAAACTATGTATTTAAGGGGATAATTTTTTGGGCTTTAATTATCAAATATGGTTCATATTTATTCCTGGTATTGGAGCACATCTATAATGACACAAGCTTTATATACAATTGATTGATACCTTTATTTAAAGTAATGTGATATGTATAAATCCTGGTTTTCTCTACAGGCTTGTCGGGGGCTTCAATCGGATCAAGGTGTGATAGTCGACGTTAATGACAGAGTGCTGTCAGACGCTGCGGGGGAAACTGAGGAGTATCTTGCACATCTTACACAGCAGGAGAACATGTATCAAAATGTCCGCCTTCCCACCGACATGGATTTTCTCCTTGTCCAAGCTACAAGTCCAGGTACCCAGCTACATGTTGTATTAAGTGGTGACTCAGGTACACAGCTACGTGTTGTATTAAGTGGTGACTCAGTTGCACAGCTACATGTTGTATTAAGTGGTGACTCAGGTACACAGCTACTTGTTGTATTAAGTGGTAACTCAGGTACACAGCTACATGTTGTATCAAGTGGTGACTCAGGAACACAGCTACGTGTTGTATTAAGTGGTGACTCAGGTCCCCAGCTACATGTTGTATTAAGTGGGGACTCAGGTACCCAGCTACATGTTGAATTAAGTGGTGTCTCAGGTACACAGCTACGTGTTGTATTAAGTGGCGACTCAGTTGCACAGCTACATGTTGTATTAAGTGGTAACTCAGGTACACAGCTACATGTTGTAATAAGTGGTGACTCAGTTACACAGCTACATGTTGTATCAAGTGGTGACTCAGGAACACAGCTACGTGTTGTATTAAGTGGTGACTCAGGTCCCCAGCTACATGTTGTATTAAGTGGTCACTCAGGTACACAGCTACGTGTTGTATTAAGTGGCGACTCAGTTGCACAGCTACATGTTGTATTAAGTGGGGACTCAGGTACCCAGATACATGTTGTATTAAGTGGTGACTCAGGGACACAGCTACATTTTGTATTAAGTGGTAACTCAGGTACACAGCTACATGTTGTAATAAGTGGTGACTCAGTTACACAGCTACATGTTGTATCAAGTGGTGACTCAGGTACTCAGCTACATGTTGTATTAAGTGTTGACTCAAGTACACAGCTACGTGTTGTATTAAGTGGCGACTCAGTTGCACAGCTACATGTTGTATTAAGTGGGGACTCAGGTACCCAGATACATGTTGTATTAAGTGGTGACTCAGGGACACAGCTACATTTTGTATTAAGTGGTGACTCAGGTACGCCGTTACATCTTGTTTTAAGTGGTGACTCAGGTACACAGCTAAAAGTTTTATTAAGTGGTGACTCAGGTGCACAGCTACATGTTGTATTAAGTGGTGACTCAGGTACACAGCTAAAAGTTTTATTAAGTGGTGACTCAGGTTCCCAGCTACATGTTGTATTAAGTGGTGACTCAGGTACATGGCTAAAAGTTTTATTAAGTAGTGACTCAGGTACACCGTTACATCTTGTATTAAGTGGTGAATCAGGTACACAGCTACAAGTTGTATTAAGTGGTGACTCAGGTACATATCTAAAAGTTTGTTTAAGTGGTGACTCAGGTACACAGCTACATGTTGTATTTAGTGGTGACCCAGGTACACAACTACACGTTGTATTAAGTGGTGACTCAGGTTCACAGCTACATGTTGTATTAAGTGGTGACTCAGGTACACAGCTACATGTTGCATTAAGTGGTGACTCAGGTACACAGCTACATGTTGTAATAAGTGGTGACTCAGTTACACAGCTACATGTTGTATTAAGTGGTGACTCAGGTACACAGCTGCATGTTGTATCAAGTGGTGACTCATACTGTCGCCTCCCCTGACTTACCCAGAATTTACCTGTACAGGTTCCTATGAAAGCTTAATTATGTTAATCCGATATTGTCTCATAAATGTCCACCTCCACTCACCCTTGTTTGATAAAAACATAAACATGTGCTATATCTAATTCCACCATGTTTGCAATGTAACGACACTTTAAGTTGGTTAATAACCATTTATTATTGGACAATAGACCGTGCATGTGCAGCACTCTTTTTTGATAAAAATCTCCCCTGCATATGTAAACAAGTGAGCCGTGGGACTGGTTTCCTTTGTCAAATGAGGCTGCATACATTTAATTTAGTAGGTATTTGAAGATTTTCTAGTAGACAAACTAAAACATTTCTATTTAATTACCTATAGATTTACTTAAAACCTGTCAAGTGCAAAGTCAGAAAGTTCTGCTAAATTTACTGAGAAGGTGACTTGATATAGTGTTTTTAATCTGTCAAATGCTGATTTCATGTGTTGACAATTGATGTTGATAGATTGGTGGATTTGATTGAAATGAGCATCTGGTATAAAGCATATAATGTCAGTTTATCATATGTTCTAAATGGAATATGAAAAATTCTTTCTAAATATAAATATATTCCCAGGTTGCAGGGTCAGAAACCATAAACATGTGCATTTTTTTTGTGAAATGAAGACATTAGTGCATGCAAAAGAACGCCAAAATTTAAATAATTACATTAACTTGGTCATCTGGCTTATCATAGGCGTGTAGACACTTAGGTACACACGAAAAAGACCTTCGTTTAACTTTACATGGTAGAATAGATATAATCAGCATATGTAAGTATATTATGGTAAAAATATAACTTGGGATTTGAAAAAGTTCGAAAAATAATCAATTCTTGGCACAGGAAAGGTTCATTATATGTAGATGTGAATAAATAAGGAATCTGTGATTTGACCCTTCCTTTGGAGTTATAGCCCTTGAAACTTAAACTTCTGCTCCAGAAACTTTGTAACCGCAACTCCTATTTAACTGTTTGTTGGATAATTCTGGGGGTGTTTTTTGCACAGGGAAAGAACAGTATATGTCGATGTGCTTGAAGGAAGGGATTTGTAATTTGGGTATCATACCCCCTGCAAACAAAGTTGGTATATGTTGATAAAATGAAGCACCTTTTCAGAGATCAGTTTTTTCAGTTGCACCTACATCAAAGTAGAGCAGTTTACCAATAATAGAAGTCTATATAACGTCTGTCCACATAAGACACTGGACCACCATTAGTGAAAATCCTATTTTTATGCAATTTGATCAAGCAAACTAGAGCTGTACACAAAATACCATTTATACTTAACCAATATAATTACAGGAAAGACATCCATCAGGAACACACAGACCGGATCTCCCTTCATACAGTGTCTGTCTGAAGTGATGTCCAATATGGAGGAAACTGATGAATTTCTTGATGTTCTCACAAAAGTTAACAGAAAGATGGCCTTCAATTTTTCCAACGGGCATGGAGAAAGAAGCCGAATCAGTGTGACACAGATGCCCTGCTTTACTTCAATGCTTACCAAAAAGCTGTTGTTGAAGAAAGGGTGCTGAGTCAGCATACTTACACAGAAAGGACACAAGGACAAGAGGAATTACACATACAATTTCATACATAGAAAGTATGGAACCATACCAACCCTCAACACTTTATAAATAGAAAGTATGGATCTATAGCAACCATCAACACTTCATAAATAGAAAGTATGGATCTATAGCAACCATCAACACTGTATACATAGAGAGTATGGATCCATAGCAACCATTATGATCAACACTGTATGGATCTATGGCAACTATCAACACTGTATTCACAGAGAATATGGATCCATAGCAACCCTCAACACTGTAAACATAGAAAGTATGGATCCATAGCAACCCTCAACACTGTTAACATAGAGAGTATGGATCCATAGCAACCCTCAACACTGTAAACATAGAGAATATGGATCCATAGCAACCCTCAACACTATAAACATAGAAAGTATGGATCCATAGCAACCCTCAACACTGTAAACATAGAAAGTATGGATCCATAGCAAGCATCAACACTATAAACATAGAGCGTATGGATCCATAGCAACCCTCAACACTGTAAACATAGAAAGTATGGATCCATAGCAACCATCGACACTGTAAACATAGAGAGTATGGGTCCATAGCAACCATCAACACTGTAAACATAGAGAGTATGGATCCGTAGCAACCATCAACACTGTAAACGTAGAGAGTTTGGGTCCATATCAATTATCGACACTTTATACATAGAAAGTATGGATCTATAGCAACCATCAACAATGTAAACACAGAGAATATGGGTCCATAGCAACCATCAACATTGTAAACATAGATAGAAAACTGTTTTTTTTTTAAATATTGGTTAAAACTAAAAATTCCGAATAATTGCATTTTAAAAACATGTTACGAGGAAAGAATTTTGTCAAATGATAATTGCATTTTAGATATCCGCACTGAACTCAACAAATTGGAATTAACTTACCTTTGGGAAAATGTAAGCAATGATAGAAATATCTATACAATCATTGAGCAAAGACTTTTCGACCTTTACCGGCAGGAAATATTAACTAATATCCAATCAACTCCGAAAGGATTCCTTTATCAACATCTAATAGATAATTTTTCTGTGCAATCATATTTAATAAAACATTAAATAACTCATATAAAAAGACTTTAGCTCGCTTTAGACTTAGCTCTCATAATTTAAATATTGAACAGGGAATATATAGAAATCTTTCTAGAGATCAGAGATTTGGTAACTTATGTAACTCTAATGATATTGAAGATGAATTTCATATTAAAGTGTAACTTTTATAACGACTTAAGGTGCGAGTTTATTAAGCCTTTTTATTACAAACGACGAAGTGTTTTTACATTGATTCAGTTAATTATTACTGAAAACATTAAGGAATTGAATAAATTAGGAAAATTCCTGTTTTTTAATTTAAAACGTTGTAATAGCACTGTATAATATTTTATCCCATTCTTCCTGCAAATGTACATTTCAGTATACCATATTTGATAAGATACTTGTACTATGTGTATTGTGTAAAAAAAAAGATGATTGTGCCCGTTCATTACCTTTCCTATGTGATATAAAATATATGGTAAATTAATCATAATTAACAACGTCGAAACATCAACGAGTATTTTCTATATTGTAATATCACTGTCACTAACGTCAGGTGTAACATCATATTTATTACACTATGGCAGAGTATTTTATTGTTCTTTGCTGTTCTACTAGAGTGTATTTATTCGTACATATGTGCGATACAATGTATGTAACTTTATTAAATCCTGTTATCATTACCTGTAACGTACGTCATTGAAAGTTATCATTGTATTATTATCATTGTAATATACTATTGTTATGATTTCCCTGTATCGGAACCTTATGATGTTGGTGTATTTCAGTGTAAAATGCTGTCTCTTATGATATATATCATTTTGTCGTACTGCACAATTAATGAGTTATCACGTATACCATTATACAATATGCATCATATTGCATTGGACTATTATTGTATACATGTATCATTGTAAATTTGTAATACACTGTACTATTTGTATGTCTACTCTCCAATGTGTCTTACACAAGGAATAAAAACAATCAATCTGAGTATGGGTCCATAGTAACCATGAACACACATAGAGAATATGGATCTATAGCAACCATCAACACTGTAAACATAGAGAATATGGGTCCATATCAACCATCAACACTGTAAACATAGGGAGTATGGGTCCATAGCAACCATCAACACTTATCCATAGCAACCCTCAACACTGTAAACATAGAGAATATGGATCCATAGCAACCATCAACACTGAAAACATAACCATCAACACTGTATACATAGAGAGTATGGATCCATAGCAACCCTCAACACTGTTAACATAGAGAGTATGGATCCATAGAAACCATCAACACTGTAAACATAGAGGGTATGGGTCCATAGCAACCATCAACTCTTTATACACAGAGAATATGGATCTATAGCAACCATCAACACTGTAAACACAGAGAGAATGGGACTATAGCAACCATTAACACTGTAAACATAGAGAGTATTGGTCCATATCAACCCTCAACACTGTAAACATAGAAAGTATGGATCCATAGCAACCCTCAACACTGTAAACATAGAGAATATGGATCCATAGCAACCATCAACACTTTATAAATAGAGAGGTATAGAGCAATAGCAACCTTCAACACTTTATAAATAGAGAATATGGATCCATAGAAACCATTAACACTGTAAACATAGAGAGTATGGGATCCATAGCAACCCTCAACACTGTTAACATAGAGAGTATGGATCCATAGCAACCCTCAACACTGTTAACATAGAGAGTATGGATCCATAGCAACCCTCAACACTGTTAACATAGAGAGTATGGATCCATAGCAACCCTCAACACTGTAAACATAGAAAGTATGGATCCATAGCAACCCTCAACACTGTTAACATAGAGAGTATGGATCCATAGCAACCCTCAACACTGTTAACATAGAGAGTATGGATCCATAGCAACCCTCAACACTGTTAACATAGAGAGTATGGATCCATAGAAACCATCAACACTGTAAACACAGAGAGAATGGGACTATAGCAACCATTAACACTGTAAACATAGAGAGTATTGGTCCATATCAACCCTCAACACTGTAAACATAGAAAGTATGGATCCATAGCAACCCTCAACACTGTAAACATAGAAAGTATGGATCCATAGCAACCCTCAACACTGTTAACATAGAGAGTATGGATCCATAGAAACCATCAACACTGTAAACATAGGGAGTATGGGTCCATAGCAACCATCAACTCTTTATACACAGAGAATATGGATCTATAGCAACCATCAACACTGTAAACATAGAGGGTATGGGTCCATAGCAACCATCAACTCTTTATACACAGAGAATATGGATCTATAGCAACCATCAACACTGTAAACATAGAGGGTATGGGTCCATAGCAACCATCAACACTGTAAACACAGAGTATGGGTCTATAGCAACCATCAACATTTTATACATTGAGTGGTATGGATCCATATCAACCATCAACACTGTAAACATAGAGAGTATGGGTCCATAGCAACCATCAACACTTTATACACAGAGAATATGGATCCATAGAAACCATCAACACTGTAAACACAGAGAGTATCGGTCTATAGCAACCATCAACATTTTATACATAGAGAGGTATGGATCCATAGCAACCATCAACACTGTAAACATGGAGAGTATGGGTCCATAGCAACCATCAACATTTTATACATAGAGAGGTATGGATCCATAGCAACCATCAACACTGTAAACATAGAGGGTATGGGTCCATAGCAACCATCAACATTTTAAACATAGAGAGTATGGGTCCATAGCAACCATCAAAATTTTAAACATAGAGAGTATGGATCCATAGAAACCATCAACACTGTAAACACAGAGAGTAAGGGTCTATATCAACCATCAACACTGTAAACATAGAGAGTATGGGTCTATAGGAACCATCAACACTTTATACACAGATAATATTGATCCATAGCAACCATCAACACTGTAAACATAGAGAGTATGGGTCCATAGAAACCAACAACACTTTATAAATAGAGAATATGGATCCATATAAACCATCAACACTGTAAACATAGAGAGTATGGGTCCATAGCAACCATCAACATTTTATACATAGAGAGGTATGGATCCATAGCAACCGTCAACACTGTAAACATAGAGAGTATGGGTCCATAGCAACCAACAACACTTTATAAATAGAGAGGTATAGATCCATAGCAACATCAACACTTTATACTATCAACACTCCATGCATATACATTAATGTACTTAAACTGGACAGTTTGGGAAAGTGACAAGCTCAGGAATAAAATATTGTAACCATAATTCATTTTTATTATGTTATGTAATTTATGATTAAAGTTTGCGTTAAACTTATGTGAGAACTTCTCACAATAACTGACTGTAAAATGTTTTAAGATATCATAAACATGAAATATTATGTTTCTCTTCCATTTTATTCTGTATTTATCATGTTTTGTTGCATGCCAATCATATTGAGTACTGCGACGGAAAACTGGTAACCATGCAATTCCAGGGTCACACTCGCTTATGTTATCTGCACCCCTGGAATATGTCCTGACAAAATTGAAAGCTCCACTTTGTGGATAATTTAAGATAATTAGTTTGATCCTTTGATGTACATCAAAAATCCTGTGGCATTGTAATGGTAAAACGTATTGGCTTTGGAGTTGAGTGTTGTTCCTCTGTCATCTTCAAAATACAGGTATCAGCCTTTTTTTTTTTTACCTGGAACCAATCAAATAGCTAGCCTTCAATTTTCCTATTACATATTCCTAGGGTACAGAGAATATAAATGAGCGTAACCCCTGAAATTTCTATGATAGAAAACTGGATGTATATAGGCGTGATACTTGGGTATATATTAAATGTACGACTTTGACTTTGAATGCAGGCCAGGATCTTCTTCTTTTGTTCTTTTATGACCAAGCTCCGGATATTTTTCCAGTAAGTAACTTTAATGGAGTGTAATGAAAGTTTTCTAATATCAATGACCTTGATCTACTTTCAGGGTCTCCGGGTCAAATATGTTGAAAATTTGCAGCCACCTGTTTTGAAGAAACTTAAGGTGCAGAGCCATGATATTTGGGTATGATATGAAATCCAGCAGTGCAAACATTTTTTTTTTGATTTTGTTTAGGTCAAAGGTCAACTAGATCACTGGCCCGGGTCAAAGGTAAACATAGGCTATAGAGGTTTTAAAGGTTTACGAATATTATTATTATTACTTTGAAACATTATTTAGACCAGTAGTTCAAACATTTCATAGCCCTTGGGTTATAACTTGGAAATGGTTGAGATCCCATAATGTAACAATTTTATATACTTACTGGGCATGGAGATCAGAATACAAACAGGATAAACTCCAAGATCAGGCCCTGCCCTAAGGGTTTTATCCTAAGGTCAATACATGGAAAGGATGGAGACTGAAACCCTTTAACCATAAACACACGACATATCTCCACCAGATTTCCTATGAATCTTCCTTGGGACCAGAAAGACTGAGCCAGAGATATATAGGGAAATATATTTTTACAAAATGTCTGCAGGCCTCAGATCTGACCCGCCCCAAATTATTTACCCTGCATTGTGTATCATGGTGAGCGATGCAAGCCCATTGGGCCTCTTGTTTGTTATTAATGTTTGTTATCTTATGCAATCACATGTATTCATTAAGTAATAAACTTTTCAGTGTGTACAAGATTTTAGTTATTTGTTTTGCCATTTTTATGGATTAAAGGGTTAATCCTGTTTCAAATGGTCAAATTGTTTAAAAACGATGAAAGAAATGTCATCAATTGTAAGGTTGTATTACTTGATGATGAATTGAGAACAGATGCAACTCACTGGATGATGAACTTAGTATACATGCAGCTCACTGGATGATGAACTTAGTATACATGCAGCTCACTGGATGATGAACTTAGTATACAAGCAGCTCAATGGATGATGAACTTAGTACACATGCAGCTCACTGAATGATGAACTTAGTATACATGCAGCTCACTGAATGATGAACTTAGTATACATGCAGCTCACTGAATGATGAATTTAATAAAGATGCAGCTCGTCTGCTAAGTCATGACAAAGCTTCTGATACGTTTATCACTTAGAAACAAGAAGCATTACCCCAATAAGTATTAATCTTAAATTGGAAAATAATAGACGAGATAAAAACACAAGTCTTTATTATTAGACGTAGTAATACATTTTCATCATTCAGAAACGCTATTCGAGACAATATAATATTTGCCTCAGGTAACAAATTACTTTTTATACGGTGATAGAAAAACAACATTTTCATACAAAATTAAGAAACAATCCAGTACTTGTGGCTTTCCTATCGAAGACACCCATCATTTCTTTTCTACCTGTGATAAGTATATTGAACAAAACATTAAGCTTTATCGTAAACTAAATGAATACATTATGCCTCTCAATTTGCATATACTTCTCTTTGGAGATTCTTCTTTTTCGAAACAAGAAAACAAAATTATATTTATGCATACTCACCAATATATGTATGACCCGAACAGATTCTAGATCACTTTCCGCTGTATCTCGATCCCAACTGAGGTCAGAGCCAACGTCACCAACCAACAGACCTTATTTTTTTTAATAGCCGGGGGCAAATCTGATAGGCCCGATCTGAATGTCACCTATGGCAAATAATCAGAGGACCCGACAAACAGGTTTAATGTCCTACTGGATTTCGATGATGGGATGGAGACGAATGCCTCAACGCTTCGTGCTTCGACTCCATCGAAATCCAGCCAAAATAGCAAAAAATGAACAATATAATTATCCAATGGAACATCCGGGGATTAAAGGCAAATATAGAAGAATTTCAGAATCTATCAAAATAATTTAGACCCGCCATTTCATGTTTACAAGAAATCATGCTCAAAAACCCAATCACTCTTAGAAATTTCTCACTCTACACTAACATTCCAACTGTAGGTAGCAGAGCGGCAGGGGGCGCAGCTGAAGCTGTCGATAAAAATATT